CCCCGCCTCTATTATTAGCCATATTTTTTTAAAAACAAATCTTAACTATGAATGTCTCCCTCCTATTTTTATTTCTGTACCCAGATAATTGAGGGAGAGACCAAAACATCTAAGAGTTGGCGCCATCCACTTAGTAAGCCTCCAGCAAGATCCCCAATGACACTGGTGAAGCAGCAGGCAGCTAGTGATGAAGGTGAGCTCATGAATTTTCCTGTTTGTTGTCACAAACTGTTGTGAAAAAAGTGCTTGGGAGGGAGGAATGTGGCCAAGTGGCAAATATATACCATTGAGAAATCATAGGTAATAAAACACTTTTCAGACAAAAAGGAGATGAGATTTCTTATTTAAAGTGCTAATTTGTGGGATGAAGACCCTGTTCATAAAATGCGTAAGTTTTCCTGTTTCATTTGATGGAGTAGACTTGGTCACTATTTGCTGACATTTCATCTTAAGGTTCTCCCAGGCAAGTTGAGAATATTCCATTGTATGTATGTACTGCATAGTCTGGTAATTAAAAACAACAACAACAACAACCCTTTTTTTTTTTTGCCTCCAATTAGAAATTAGACCATTTTTTTTCCTTGCAAATGTTTCTTAGCATCACAAGGACCTTATTTTCTTCATCTTTGAGAAGATCAATTCAAGCCCTTCCTTGAGGTATTCTTCATTGGCATAAATTGTTAATGAAGGTCAGGTATATATACAGATGGTGTCAAGGAAGTAACATGAATCTTGGGTTCAAGCTTTTTTGTTTAGTTTAAATAAAGTATCAGTAGACATCCTTAACAGATATGTTTCTTTTACCCATCATATTCTTTTATACTTCATATTTAGTTATAAAAGAAATGGTAGATGTAGGGTCCAGGTAGGGATGATCTTAGTTTCTATAAAACCAACCCAAGGTGGAATTCTGGTTTGCATAATAAAAAAACCAAACTCAATGCCCTCAAGTTAGATCTGACTTGGGTTTCTGACTCACAGCGACCCCTCCTTGGGTTTCTGAGGTGGTATCACTATGGAAGTAGATTGCCCAATCTTCCTTCTGAGGAGTGGCTGGTGAGTTTGAACTGCCAGCATTCTGGTTAGCAGTCAGATGCCTTAGGCACTGCACCACCAGAAATCATGAAATATATGAAAACATGTCATCATGTTGGTTTCTTCTTTCTTCTGCCTTGTTATATCCAGTACAAACCCCTTAATTGTCAATATAATAATAGGACAACTCTGTATAAAGTCATTAATACTTATATACATTCCTCATGCATTTTAATTACCTTTCCATTATGGCTATATTTGGAGTAGTTTTTCTGAAGGGACTGGATTATATTAAAACACAAGGAAAGCTGCTTTCTCTTGCATCCTTAATTTTCCTTTTTCCTAAGTTGATTTTGATATGAGCCATCATCATTTGGCCTAGAGTTTCTCTATGGAGAGCAGTTCTGATTTTACTCTGTACAGCTTGCAAAATTTATAAATGGATTAGTTTAACAAAATCGTCTCAAGGGTTTGAGGTTAAATACCTTGCTGAAACATTGATGCTTGTAGCATTTGCAACAGTCTCACTTTGCATTCTAAAATGTTAAGGATTCCTGGAGTCCTTTGAGGATTTTTCAGAATTCAAGAGAAAAATCAAGAGATTTTTTTTTTTTGTTGTTGTTGTGATGGCTGAAAAATCGTGGCTCGTAGATTTTTACAAGGTTCAAAACTGACAAGAATATTTTGTGGCCTGGAGCAAATTGCTTACATCATTGGACACTTGAATGAAGCCTTGGCCTTTTGCCTCAATGTCTGAGTTGCTTTAAGGTTGGAAATGAATGCACATCAACATTGTTAGAAAGTGATGGAGAATGGTTTTTGTGCTCATTGGGGAGCACACAATTACAAATCCAGCTTTGTTTGGGAATTTTCTGCCCTCCCTAAGGGACTCTTTTGTACCACTTATATGGAAGCAGGTCTATATGTCAAATAGGCTGTACCCAGATAAGAGCATCTGAGAAATGGCATCATTAAACAACAATCAATGTCCCCTTCTGGTTAATGATCACTTTTCTACTGAAGGTGGGCTGTTATTTCCCAACAGAAGGGCAGCCAAGGGGAACAATACTTGGTCCAGCCCTTCTGGGAGCATCAGTGAAGTTGGGAGAGCAGAGTCACCAGGAAGTTGTTTTCTGCTTTGGGGAGTGAAGTGACTTTTTGATACTCAAATGATGATGTGAACCTGGAGATCATTCCAGTTGGTTGAAGTTTGAAAGACTGTGTTTGGCACATAATAAATGTTTGGCACATTGTCCTGATGTGACAATGAGGAGCAGGTGGAGAATGATAACTGAGCTTTCCAGAACTGAGGGAAATCCCAAGGAGCTTCAGAGGGAAATGCCGTCCAGATGGGAAAGGAAAGCCAACACTGTGGCTGTTCAGGCGGAAATTTGCCAGTATTCGAGTAGGATCCAGGCAGTCCGAACTAAATTCCCATAGGCTCCACTAGACACTCAGAACTAGACTCCTAAAACCCCTTAGTGAATGGCTAGACCAGAGCAAAGCAAATAAATATAACAACTGAGCACAACACAGGGAGAGAAAATGCACACTTGCCTGCTGGGATCTGGGCGTGAGGGATTGGGGAGGGTAACGGGAAAAGGAGTTTTTGTAAGAATTCTCTCTCTCTTTTAAAACTTTTTATTGTGATTTGTGTAAAATTTTACAAAGAAGACTAGTTTTACATTTCACAGATCATAACTCATTTTGTTTTGTGACAGCTTACATTCCCTGCAGCGTAGTACCTCTCCTCCCACTTCTTCCTGTGGTTACCCTTTCCCTGTGTCCTTCTTGCCTATGCATTCCTGCTGCCCCACCTTTCTCGCTGTGCAAATGCTGCCCTTCTGAATCTCCCATGGCTGATTGTTCTAAGGAGTGTATCTTCCTGGTTTAGGTGTTCAACTCGTAGGTTTGTGTATCGTTTGGCTGCAAGGGAAGCCACAGGAGTGAGTTCAATTCCAGACCCAAAGGTGGCTTGAGACCATAGTCTCATGGGTTTCACCAGTCTCTGTAAGACCAGTAAGCCTGCTTTTTTTTTTTTTTTTTTTAAGATTTTGAGTTTGTTCAACATTTTCCCTAAGAATTCTTAATCCTATGACTATGATCAAAGTTATACCTTTCATTGCAAGTCAAAAAATTACAGTAAAAGGTGGGTGTTGCCTGTAGTGAAACAGGCAGGTGCAGTTACACAACTTTTTGAATGCTGGCCAGACTGGACTCAGTTGAATGGGCGATAGGCTCTGATTGGAACCATGGCTCTACAGGCTTCTGATTGAGGCACATCTTTTCCCTCCCTCAGTCACATGTGAAATGTGAGGCTTGCTCAGGAACCATCAGAGGTCCCTGCTCCAGGTTCATGGATGGGTCGTGGGCATTCAAATTCCTGGAAATAGAATGTAGCATTAGGTTGCAGTCTACTGGGCTTCTATTAGATTTTCAAAAGGGCTGATCACCAATGGGTCGCATTTTTATTTAGAACTCTTCAATGGTGATTCTCTGTTTTCTAGAATAATCATACAGAAAGATGGAAAGAAATACCCATCTCTAGCGTACTGACCCATGTGCAGACGTGACCTCATCTACAAGTGTGGATATTGACAAGAGTTCAGATGTAAGCCCTGGTCCTAACTTTGCTTTCCTCTGATCCAAGTGTCTGAGAGACTCTTCAGAAGTCTCCAGTTGAGCAAGTACAGTGCTATAATGAGCTGTTAAGCATCTCTTTGAAATTAAAGACAGCTTAGACCCAGATTCTTATCTCTTCAGTATCTGCCTGCCTTGAGGCTTAGATCAAGTGTCTTTCGGAAAGTGTTCCTGTAATTCATGTTTTGGAAAGACTGCCTGTATTAATATTGTAATTCATTTAGTAATGGATTAAAAATTTAAATGTATAGATGGAAGAGATGGAAGTTGCTGCTTTAATTAGAGATTATTCTTGATGTTTGACAATTCTTTAACTCGTTTAACCTAGGTTGTCAGTTGTTCTGAAGAATAAAATATATGCATTTAAGCACTGTTAAGTGAAATCTCAGGCGTTCAAGTCTGACAGAAATCACCTCCCCAAATGGTTTTCTGTGTTTCTATTCTTTTATAGAAAAGCTTGTGTTTATGAAGTAGTGGACCTATAAATCTGTTCTTAGCATGTTTTCCCAAGACTAGAAGAAGCCAGCGATTTCATCTTATTAGAGATTCTCGTTTTCTTCTGGGATTGATTGCCAGAGATTTCCTGTGGTCTCTGCATACTTTTCCTAGACTCCTTTAGTCACTGGAGAAAGCATGTTAAAGTGCTCCCACCACTGGGAGCACCAGTAGTACACAGGCTGGCTCTTGGGCTCTTTGCAGTTATCCCTCACACAAAAGAACATTATTAAGAATTGGTGGTTTCAGTTCACCTTTGGTACACAGCTGATTTTGGGAGAATTATGCCCTCCTGCTCTTGGGAGCTTTTCTCTCTTCTAATAGCCTTGGTATAGATTTACCAGTTTTAATTTTTACTTCAAGAATTTATTAAAGGGAATATGTTAAGTAAATATGATAATGATGTCTTTTATTGATCTGAACTTTAAAAAGGTCACTTCAGTTATAAAATTAAATACAAATTTTATTTTAAATATTAAAAACACCCTTCATTTATTCTTTCAAACAGTAATGGGTACATGATTGAGTTCTGGCTTTTAGTTTCTCCTTGGCCATAGGGCTATATAGCCTTGGGAAACTAAGTCATGGAATTCCTCAAAGGGTCAGTTTACTCATCTGTAAAAGGAAATACTTAGATTAGTGATTCCAGAGTTCCATTCAAGCTCTAAATTTCTTAGACTCCATGTAAATATAATAGGAGAGGATAGGAGTTAGTCCTTGCCCCATGCCCAGCTTCTAAATGAAAAGGAGAAGCTTGAATGAAGTATAGGAGCATCCTTCACCAGTAGTGTTTACCCTGCATACATAGCCCCTTTCTCAGCCAGTTTTGAAAAAACAAATACTGTTTTATGACTATTGCATGTCATGCTCCAAATATTATTAATTTTCACATAATGATCGCCTCTCTTTGTTCAGTCAGTTCTTACTAGCTGGAGGTAATGCTATACTTTCATAATAAGCACAGTTTTATTTCTGTCTGTTGGAGCAATAAAATAGCCAATTCAGCAGATTACTACAGAGATT